AATTGATTTGGTCTAATTTTGAAATTCCGCTACTTATGTTTGGTTTGTTGTTTGATTGAGAATTTAGCATGTTGAGAGATAGTATTTATGGGAATGCTAACTCGATGCTATTATAACATATTGAATTGATTTGTTTAATTTTGAAATTCTGTTGGTTATGTTTGGTTTGTTGCTTGATTGAGAAGTTAGCATGTTGAGAGTTAGTATTTATGGAAATGCTAACTCGATGCTATTATAAAAAAAAATGGTCGTGTTTTTCACCCTTTCCCTCTTGGCTATTTGAGTTTTTAACTTTTTATATATATTCACTCAAATGACAAAAAAAAAAAAAATTTTTGAGAAGAAAAACAAAATACTTTTTTTCTGCAGAAGATTAAAAAACCCTAAACCCATAGGAATTGGCACTCGTCTCTGATCCATGATAGATTTTAGAGGAAACCTCAGAAATTGAATAATTTTTCTCAGTTTTATTGATTAGCCAATATGCTTATTTACACACGATAATAACTTGTCTAACAAATTTTTTACATATTTGAAATAGGAAATATATCTTATTCAAAAATATTAACTTTTCTAATAACTATTAGAAAATATATTCAAAGCGATCTCGTAATCTCTAAGATCTCATAACACTAGCATCATCATATCTAATATAAATTGTCACATTTTCTAAATAATCTTGAAATCATCGCAGAGGCATACTTCTCTCTCATTTCAAAGGATAAGAGCTATTTAGAAATACATACATTCACATTCACACTGAATATTTGTGTGTAGTCCTTTGTTAGGTTTTATATTTTATCTATCGTTATATATAATTTAATTTATATTGTTTCATACTAGGTTGAAGAGACATCCGCTCTCACTCAATTTATAATAGGGTTAATTTGTTAAATAACCAAAAAAAAAAAATCTAATAATCTAACAAAAAATCTTTAGATCGAATGGTTAGGATGTTGCCACATAAAGATTTTTAGTTAGATTATTAAATACAATTTTTTATGGTTATACAACGAAAGTTCCCTTTATAATAAGTAGCGCTTTAGGTTAAGACTTGTGCCCGTCAATACAAGTTAATTATACTTTGTTTTCTTGTTAATCGTGTATTGTGTAGCTTCTTCCTTGACTGATCGTGTCTGCTTTTTCTCCTGTTCCTTCACTTTTGTACGCTATTCCTCTTCTTAGTATTGTCGAAACTCAAGAATAAGATGATGAAATCGGGAGTTTGAAGCTTAATGTTTCGTGGAATAGTGATAGATCCATCATCCATGTCCCATCCTCATCATGTTTCTAAGATTAATTAACTTGTTACCATTTGGATTGAAGTAAAAAGATGGCTGAGTGGACATAAGGTTATGGGTAAAAAACGTGGGAAAAGGCAAAAGGCAAAAGACCCACCTTCTAAGCACTCTCTTTTAAATGGTAATTCGTGCCTGTCAAAGCTTAGACTCTGTCAGAAACACAACCCCAAAGCCACTTACTTCATCTATTCCTCTCTCTCTTCTTATTTATATTATTATTGTTTTAAAACAAAAAGCTAAAGAGAGAGAGAGAGAAAGTTTGAGATTCTACAAACCCAAGAAACCCCCCTAAAAACAAGAGGAAATAAAATCAAAGGGAAAATAACATTAGTCGTTTTGTTTGCTTCCTCTCTGTTTTCCTCTGTCTGGACATTGGAATGAAACCAA